GTAGGATTGCAGCCGATACTGTCTGGGTAGCGGACGTGCCCGCACACTCCAAACTAACCCCCAGGGCGGTTTGCCTCATTGATTTTAGAGCAGAAACTTGGGGTCCTGTCTCTTTGTATAGGCAGGGGCTGTGGTGGTTAAGGAAGCAGGCTCTTTTTCTGAGGCCGCTACCCAAGTTCACAGCAGCCGGCTGCCTGCATAGCTGGTGGATGGGCAGAGACGGTGGTGGAAGTGATCTTCCTTGCGACTCATTGTTAATTTGTTGATTCTTGCCTGTCTGCAGTTCCCCACTGCTTTTCTCTCTCCTTGATTCAGAGTGCTTCAAAGATGAGCACCATTTCTTTGTTGTATGTCTTGTATTTGTGGAGGAGGTTGGGACAATGGTTTTTTGATGCCACCATCTTCCAAAATGCTTTATTTGATGGATCTCTTTTTTGAGTAGTCCCCGTGGAGAAGGAAGGTGCAGTTAAGAGGGTTATAGAGATGGTTTCTGGGTCACAGCTATAAAACTATAACTATCATGAACATGTTTTTATTTTCTCTGATAATTCAGAAGGCCCTTTGGAATCATAAGATCCTGCAGATCCTTTAGGCTGTTATTATGCCTTCTGAGGCCCATGAGCATAAATTATCCTTGTATTGTAATTGCTTAAATGATTGGATAATAGTGAATTTTCATTAAGTGCATGTCTGAAATCAGGGAATTTGGTTTATAGGCATAATTAAAACTCTGAGGGAACCTAGAGCGAGCTACCACACGTTGTCTCCCTGCTGCTCAGGTCTGCAGGGAATCTCCATCACCCGTGGAGTGTTCCTTGGCCTCAAGTCAGCTACTGCCCTCCTGACGGCTTGTCTCTTATTTCTGCTCTGTTAGCTGGGAGCATTCCTGGAGGGACTGCACTTTGGGGTGGGGATGAAGACCCTACTTCTGTCATGGTTAGAACTTCATCAGTCAGTCAATATGGTTTAGGCTGTGATTTTTTTAGGTCTGAAGTGAAAGGGCTTCCATTCTATTGTGAGTCCTGGTCCTTCGGTTTTGGTGCAGCATTCACCCTGCAGCTTTCCCTCCTAATCCCCCCAGTTTAGGAAAAAACAACAGTTATTTTTTTTAAACTCATACTCTGAATCCAGTAGTTGGAAATGTGTTTTACTTCTTTAAGAAAGGTGCCTACTTCTTTTCTTGGCAGTGGGGGAACTGGTGAGGGTGGCATTTAATTAAAATTCCGTAATATTTTTTACTCACAACATTGAAAGTCCGGTAATGGAGTTGAATAAAATTCAGGCCACTGAATTTGATTCCCACGAAGATTGTATCTCGTGGGCAGTACTCAACTCATGAATAAAGCGGTATTATGAGTAGGACCTCAGTATTGAACTTTTCTAACTGGCCTTAATGGAAGGGGGGGTAGGCATGAATTGACATGGGTGTTAAAACTTTTCTTGCTCAGAAAATTTCATAAGATCGTAATGTCCTTGTGGAAAGTAAATTCTAGACCTCATTCAGTTTGTATCTCCAGCATTTAATTTAGCATATAGCAGGGTGCGTGTGTGTTTGTGTGTATGTGTGTAAATATATATATACACACACACAACTACTGTATACTAAGTCTATATACACACACATATACTTTAAGTTAAAAATGTTTCAATTGAGAAAGTAAGAACTCTGTAATAAAAATAATAATTAACTGCTAACATTATTGAATGCTATTTATCAGGCACTGTTCTAAGTACTTCTCTGTATTTTCCAATTTAATCATCACCACAAACCTATGTGGTTATCTCCATTTTACAGATAACCTAGTTATTCAGTAGTGGAGCCCAGTTTTTAACTGATTCCAGAGCCCTTACTATTAACCATGCCTCAGAAGATAGTTGGTCATCTGAGGATAAGATGAAGTCATTATTTATTAAAATGGACAGGACTCTTTCTTTGCTCTCTTGTCTGGTAGCAAAGTTTCCAGTATGCCCCTCTCCTTGCTTCTGAGTTTCATTTACTGAAATCCAGGTTGCAGTGTACCCTGATAGGATGAATATAAACTACAGGTAGTCCCCAGCTTATGACATATTCGTGTTATGACAAACTGCACTTACGACCATCCATTTTTTTTCCTGTGTTGCAGTGTGTAATTTGCTGATGTTATCATCCTCAGATGTTCACTTGCAAATGTTTATATGTAATGTTTCCAGCCCCTAAAGACAAGTAAAGATTGGATTTATAAGGATACTGATAATAAAAAGAATAATAATGAAAACTAAAAAAAAAAAAAGATGTATTCGACTTACATCAGAACCGACTTATGACGGAGTCATTGGGATGGAACCCTGTCATGGACTTCCTGTGATTACGTATGATAATCTGTTTTATTTCCTGGGATACCTTGGTTGTTGTGGCTTATGTATTTTGTCTTCTTCAATGGAAATAACCAGCCTAAATATAGGAAAACCTTTTAAAATCTTTTCAACTCTTCTTAACATAGGGCTTGATGCTGTGTTGACAGTCTTTTCTTGTAGTGTGAACAGATTTCATGTGAAGTCCATTAAAAAGGACTCTTTTTTTTTTCTTGGTGATAAAGATGTTGTTAAACCTGTATTTTCACAAAAGTTGAACCACAGTTGTATTCATTCTCATTTCAAAGCACTTAAGTTTACCTCTGTTAACCACTGTCTTTTAATACCACAGATAAGGTTTAGCAACTGTTGTCTTAATATTGTCTATATTTCTTTTTTTTGTTTAAACAGCTTTAACTGAAATCAGTTCTACGTTTCCAACAAACATTTAGTTAATGTAAACTAAAACCCTTTCATGACTTGGTGTTCTCAGGTTACTCATTTGGGCCATTTTCACCATTGTTAAATCTTCACAAGTTGCTTTTGTTTGCCTCATGAAAGTTCAATGTGGATAAACAAACAAAAAATTCTTTGTGGTAACAGGTGAAGATTATAATAGCTCTGAGTCTGTACAGGGAACATGATTACTTTAGCAAAGTGAGACGACCCAGCATTAATCTCTGAGAGTTCTGCATTTCGTTAGAGGGTAGAGGTGAAAAGAGTTTTTGAGCTGGAGTTGTACTTTGTTGGTAAAATCTAATTTTCAAGTTGAAAATGAATAATAGAAGACATGGAAAATAGATAGAAAGCCATGTCTTATCTTTCCAAAGCTTTACTCAGCCTCTCATCTAAATATGTTGGAATTATTTCGGTTGCAAGGGACAGAAAACTCAACTTGAATTGGCTTAAATAAAAAGGGCTTCAGGAATAGCTTGATCAAGGGTCAGTTGCTGTTACCAGGATCTGGTTTTTATTTTTCCATCTTGCAGCTACCCCCTGCTGTGTTGACTGTTTTCCCCTTTTGCTGGCAAAATGGCTGGAGAATCCTCTTCCTGTATCTCTGATGAAGTCTTGAGATATTTTCTAATTGAACATATGCCTATTCTCCTCTAACCCAATTCTGTGACCAGATAAATGTCATGGTTTAGATTGGCTTAGAACTGGGTCACACATTCCACTTCTGGCTTGTCCACATGGACTGACACTGAAGAACGAATTGATTACTATCTTGGTTGAATTGTGTCCTCCAAAAATATGTGTCATCTGGGCTAGGCCATGATTCTCAGTATTGTGTGGTTGTCCACCATTTTGTAATCTGATATGAATATCCTATGTGTTGTAAATCCTAACCTCTGTGATGTTAATGGAGCCCTTATGGTGCAGTGGTTAAGAGCTACTGCTACTAATCAAAAGGTCTGCAGTTGGAATCCACCAGCCACTCCTTGGAAACCCTATGGGGCAGTTCTGCTCTGTCCTATGGGGTCACTATGAATCTGAATCAAATGGACAGCAAAGGGTTTGGTTTTTGGTTTTATGATGTTAATGAGGCAGGATTGGAAGCAGTTATGTTAATGAGGCAGGACTCAATTTACAGGATTAGGTTATATCTTGAGTCAGTCTCTTTTGAGATACAAAAGAGAGAATTTAGCAGAGAGGAGGGGGACCTCATGCTACTAAGGAAGAAGCACCAGGAGTAGAGTGCATCCTTTGGACCGGGATCTCTGCGCTGAGAAACTCCTAGACCAGGGGAAGACTGATGATAAGGACCTTCTCCCAGAGCTGACAGAGAAAGCCTTCCCCTGGAGCTGACACCCTGAATTGGGACTTCTAGCCTCCTACACTGTGAGAGAATAAACTTCTCTTTGTTGAAGCCATCCTCTTGAGATGTTTCTGTTATAGCAGCACTAGATATCTAAGACAGTTACCAAATGAATAGCTGGAGTTTGACTAGAAGAAGGAAGAACGCCAATAAGGCAAACAATGGAAGTTTACTACAGTAGGTACATAGGAAGGAAAATAAATTATTAATATCTTTGCTAGTCTTTATGCCTGTTGTCATTTGCCCTGTCTGAGTTATAAAGTGACAATTTGGATGACTCTACAGGTTTAATATGTGCCTATATAATTATATATAATTATGTTGTTCAGTTATATGAAATGAAATCATCACGAGTTCTTTGTGACCCATGGGTAAATTATTTATTTTAGATCTAAGAAATTTAAAATTGGTATTTCCTAATATGTGTCTCTGTTTGCTTTTAATACCAGTCTTTAATAACACGTTACATTAAAAAAAAAATCTTCTGTTTGATTATATCTTTCCTATCATACATAGTACAGACTGCTGTCTACTCTAGGCTCTCAGTATTTGTTGATTACTTACAGTTTCCTCACATCTGACTAATGAAGGTAGTTGGAAACCCCTCCCAAGCCTGAGCTGGGTTGTCTTACTAAAAGGACCGCACCTTTAAGGCTCCTCACTGCTTAGTTTTGCAAAAATGCTCTAGAGACTCAGAGTTATACTGGGAGCCCATTAGGCTGTGCTTTTCTCACATTTCCTCACCCTATGGCTATTAAGTTACTGGAGGAAAATTGAGTGACGAAGTCATTGTCCTTGCTTGTCCATCTCAAGGACATTATAACTACTGCCTTCTCTTTGTGGTCAACAGGTAGAGTTTGAGTGGCTGAGACAGTATTGGTTTCAAGGCAATCGATATAAAAAGTGCACTGATTGGTGGTGTCAACCCATGACTCAACTGGAAGGACTGTGGAAGAAGATGGAAGGTGTGGTAAGTACATGAAGTCTGGGAACCATATTTTCTGGCATGCTGTGCTATGTGCGGGAGCCCTGGTGGTGCAGTGGTTAAGCGCTTGACTGCTAACCAAAAGGTTGGCAGTTCAAATCCACCAGCCGCTCCTTGGAAACTGTATGGGGCAGTTCAATCTGTCCTACAGGGTCGCTATGAGTCAGAGTCGACTTGACGGCAACAGGTTTGGTTTTTATTTTTTTTGGTATACTATACGAATTCTCCACTGCTTATTTTACATAGGCAAATGCATATTTATTTTTTCCATATTATTGAATGAGGCTATTCTTGGTAAGACAATGGGAAGGGCCAAGATTTTGTCAGTACAACCTCAGTTCCATTCAGTGAACATTTATTGAATATTTCCTGTGTATAAAACACTGCGCTAGACATATGCTGGGAAGTGACGATGAGGGGAGAATACAATGATAATATCTAAAATCTGTTTGCATTTCTATATGTGCCATAGGCGGGAATCCCTTGGTGGCGCAAACGATTAGACACTCGGCTATTAACTGAAAGATTGGCAGTTTGGCAGTTTGAACCTACCCAGAAACGCCTTGGAAGATAGCCCTGGTGATCTGCTTTCAAAAGGTCACAGCTTTGAAAACCCTGTGGAGCAGTTCTACTCTGCGCACAGGGTTACCGTGAGTCAGAGTTTACTTGGTGGCAGCTAACAACATGCAGTGGGCTCTATTCTAAGGGCCTTCCCTGTATTAACTCTTAAATTCTTACAGCATTCCTATGAGGTGTAGAAACTATCATGAACCCTGACTTATAGATGTGACAACTGAGGCACAGAGAAATTAAGTGCCTCTCCAAGGTCCCATAGTAAGTGACAGAGCAAGATTTAAACCCAGGCAGTCTAGCTTTTGAGCTTCTACTCTTAACCACTACATTCAGACAGCTCAACAAGGAGAGAGACATGAATATAGCTGGGTATTACATTAGCTAAAAGGAAATCTTGAATTAAAGGTATTTAAAAAAAAGAATCACAGTCCAGAAGAGGGAATATTAATGTCAGACCACTGGAATTGGGACTGCTGTGAAATGTTACATGTGGCTTTTAGGGGCCTTAGATGGGGAAGGGTTGGGTGGGACAGGGCATTTGAAGGGAACATTGGGCTCCAGGAACTGTAAAAAACAAGCTCAGAAGTGTGGAAGTCCAGTGTGACTTGTGTGCCGTGGAGTTGACACCAACTCATGGCGGCCCTATAGGACAAGGTAGAACTTCCACATAGGGTTTCTTAGGGTGTAATTTTTATAGGGAGCCCTGGTGGTGCGGTGGTTAAGTGCTCGGCTGCTAACTGAAAGATTGGTGGTTGGAATCCACCAGCCACTCCTCAGGAGAAAGATGTGTCAGTCTGCTTCCGTAAAGATTTACAGCCTTGGCAACCCTATGGAGTAATTCTCCTCTGTCCTATAGGGTCACCATGAGTCTGCATTGACTCAGGAGCAATGGATTAATTTTTACAGGAGCAAATCTCCAGGTCTCATCTCCGGTGGAGCAGCTGGTGGGTTCAAACAGCCAACCTGTTAGCAGCCAAGCGTTTAACCGTTGCACCACCCAGCACTCCTTGCAGTGTGACTATAGGAAGTAATATAGTAGGGGTGCAGCTAGAAGGCAAGTTAAGGCCACTTGAAGGTCTTGAATTAAGTCTTAAATAATAGTAATAGCAAACAGTTACATGATACTTATTAAGTACCTATTCTAAAACACTATTCGAAGTGTTTTTTATATAACTTATTTGACCTTTATGACAACCCTATAAAGGAGGTATTATTTTTTTCCTCATTTTACAAATGAGGAAACTGAAGGACAAAGAGTTTATGTACCTTCCTCAAGGTCATACGGCTAATAGGTGAGGGAGCTGGGATCTGAACTCATGAAGGCTGGCTCTCGGGTCCTTGCCCTTCTCCACCTCACTGTTCTGTCTCCAAACAGTTGAATTTAAAATGTAGTGGGACAGTGATAAAAGCCTGCGAAACTCTGGAGATAATACCAGTGCACAGAATTTGAAATGTGCTGGAAACAACAAACTCATCTGCAAAAATGGGTAGCTATTGCTAATCCCTGTTTTTTTTTTATATATTTTTATAATAAAATATCAAGTGAAAACTCTTGAAGGCTTCAGTTTGAAAGTCTGGGTCTGAATCCAGAAGTCCCTGCTTTCCAGGCATCTCCTCAGATCTTTAAACCAGGCCTTTTCACGGACATAGGTTACAGTCTTTCTTTTAGTGCATTAATAGTGTCACTAAGATGGATTTCTGCGAAGTCCTGAATCAGTGCAAAACTGAGCATCGTAAAACGCAGTTGGAGCTAGTGTAAAGTCCGTGCCTAAATCTCCTTAGTTCTATTTCAAACTCAGCCTGAGTGGAGTGTACTCCATGTTTGGGGGATACATGTATAAAGGCAACTTTAGTTTGAGAAACTTTTAGTTCATTTATTTATTTTGGACTGTGTAATTCTGGTTTTGTCCATTTACATGTAGTTAGTTAGAACTTCTTTACTTGTCACACCTTAACTCTAGGAGGTCACCTTGACTTTGGGATTGTAATTTGGCAATGCTGTGGATTAGGATTGACAGGCAAATCAAGAAAGGAAATCTTACTGGTTTTGTAAAAAAATAAAATAAAACTACTTTTGTTCAAGGGTTGTTTTGTTTTTTAAGTGAAATCTTTGGTTTTGTGAGCTTACCAGTGATGTTCCTTAAAAATTAATTGAATAGATTTAGTTATGTTTTTATTTGGTGACAGTGGCACATTAGTTAGAGGGAATATCTCCCGTTTATTTTTTCTTGTGTGAAAAATACTGAAATAAACAGCGATCTTGGCAATTTTCCAAGGCTAGTTTCCTTGCAGTTGGTATGGCATTACTAAGTGTTCTGAGTGAAATCAATGGCCTCAGTGTCTCTGCTCCACAAGCCTCAGGATGATCATTATCAACAGAGTAAACGTTTGGGCCAAGATAAAAGGGATGGTACTTCTAAATTAAATTCAAGAATTGCTTCAAGCCTTTTAAATGACAAACTCATAATAATTTATTTTTGCTGTTGGAAGACAGAAGAGAATAATCACTGGAAAGGTCTACAGTTCTGTGGCTCTGTTGGTGCAGTGCCACCTGGTATTTGTGTCCTGACCATGCAATTGGTGCTCTGTAGCAGCCTGCCAAGGAGCCCTGGTGGCACAGTGGTTAAGCGCTCAGCTACTAACCAAGAGGTCGATGGTTTGAACCCACCAGCCGCTTCGTGGAAGAAGGATGTGGCAGTTTGCTTCCTTAAAGATTACAACCTTGGAAGCCCTATGGGGCAGTTCTACTCTGTTCCATAGGGTTGCTATGAGTCAGAATCCACTGGAGGGCTACATGTTTTTAGCAGCTCGCCTCGTATTTTTTCAGTTGCAAGCAGTAGGGGGCAATGTTGAGCTACCAGTTTGAGGCTCCACGATTCTATCCAGCCTTTCAGGAGAATGCATACAAATCTACCATTAACTGTCAAGAATTATCCCTGTTGCTTCAAGTTAGCTGTAATCTCTAAGATTCCACAATACAGGAAATCAGTTGTGGGTTAACAAATTCAACAGCAATTTAACATAAAAAGAGCAGTGTTTGGTGCACATTTGGATTCTATAGACTTAGGCTAATCTAAAAGGCATTTCTGAATGTACTCACTTTGCTTCCAGGCACTCACTATATTTTCCAAAATTATTATCATTTTATACGAATGATTCTTCTTTATCTTTCCGTTTTGCTTGAATTGTAAAATCGTGTGTGTTGTGAAAAGCCTCCTCTAATAAATGCATTTTGTCTTTTCTGCAACACAGCATCGATTTCTTTTGGTGAGAAAATAAAACAAAAAACCTCAGGCAACATGTGCGTGACTTTTCACCTTTTGCTTATGAGTGAAGCAACCCTGGCAGCCCTTGTGCTGGAGAAGAGACTCGTGTTGTAGTTTCTCTAAGTCTGTGTGTTCTTTTTTCACTTTGTGGTTGGAAGGGGTAGTCTCAGGTAGCAGATAGAAGAAAAATGGAAAATGAGCTTTGAAATCACTTTTCTTCCATTAATGGTTATTGCTTCACATGTCTTAACCAGTCACATATTTCAAAAAGTTTAGTCAGCTGTCTCTAAAACTCCCCCAGCCTCTACTTCCCATCCTCTGTTCGAGCAAGCACTGTTTTTATCACGCTGTTTGTTCTTGCCGTCCCCCCGCCCCGGATACTTTGACTCTGTGCATGCTCTTGTAATGTAAATGTTAAACCTTATATTTGAATGACATTCTGATAAAATATCACTTTTCCCCTGAATATTACCTCATGAATTTATGAGCCATTAAGCCCAAAGCAACATAACCCTTTCTTATAACCCAGGAATTTAGCCTAGCCTTTCCTGTCCTCTTTGCTCCTTACTCAGGAAAGTTCTGAAACACTGTAACACTATTAAAATATTGTGTTGTATTTTATTTTTTAAAAATCAACCCATTACCCCTCATCCAAGATTAGTTTATTATGAAGAGAGTCTTCAGGATAAGAGAGAGTTACCATTTGAAAGAAACTGTACAAGCTGTGCTTTCTGGGTAAAGAGAAATATGAAAAGCTGAAATCTCCTGTGAGGTGAGGAAGTCTTGCTGTAGCCAGAGATTCAGTGGATAGGCCATTTGTCTCTTAGGGTCTGGTATCACGCTTCACAAAACTGACATTTATTTTACCTATAAAAATGTTTTAACACTATCAAATTCACAGTGATTCAGAAAAGACTGGTAGGCATGATAGCCTCTAAATTGATGACATTTATTCATTTCCTTTTGACCTTTAAAAAAAAAAAAGGTCAATTTGGTATAATCCAATGGAAATATTCTAGAATCATTTACAGAGTAAACTTTTATAAAAGTACCAATGATTTGTATACTGGAGAGAAATTTCTTCATGCTTCTTTTGTTGGCTTTTTTCCTTTTAGAAGAGAAAGAGTAGATCCTGATCACTCCGAA